CCGAACGTCGCCGGCTGGTGCCGGTCGGCGAGCATTCCGAACGGCCTGGCGCCGCCTGGCTGGAACCAGTTCTAAACAGGAAGACCATTACGCAACGCGCAGCACCTCCGAGTGCCGCCCGCCGGACGTCGTGGCAATTGATGACGTCACGCCGACCGAACGTGACGGCGGCGACGTGCAGGATCCCAGAGGCTCGGCGGTGACCGGCGCCGTGCTCGTGGACGCCGCCGGCGTCGTGCACAGCCTGCTGCTAGGGAGGAGGTCGTCACCGCTCAGGCGGCGCCGTCCCAGGCAAGCCGGCCCTGGGGCTGACCGGGCCAGCAGTGGGGGGGGGGGGGGGGGGGCGCGATCGGTGGCCAGGGCAGCCGCAGACGGCGCCGGCGGGCCGCACCGTTGGGTAACCGGCCGGCCGGCGGCCGGTCTGTTGTGACGTATGCGCCGCCGCTGGAGCGGGGGGAGGGGGGAAGCGGGCCTGGCCAGCTGCCAGCCGCGCCGGGCACGACGCCTTCCAGGTGCGGTCAGCGGGGTGATGACCCCCGGCGTCCTCTGGCAGGAGGGCAGCGTCGGAAGTGCTGACGCCCGGCCAGGGCTGTACGGCATTTGACAGAGGCGGTACCATCCTGCAGATCAAGGGGTGTTGCTGTTGTCAGCGGGATCAGTAAGTTGGAGGTCACGTTACCTTGACCCTTTGTCTCCAGGGGCGGCGCCACCGAATTTTGCAGGGGGGGAGGGGGGAGCTGGAATAGGCAAGCAGATATTAGGGTTATGATAGCGGTTTTGGGATCTCCTATCCCAGGCCCCGTCTAAAAAATCTGCCAGATTTCGCTCACTCTCCAAAACAATTGCTTAAGTTAATATCAGTTCCTTAAAGCTTCCCCTTGGCATTGTGGGACCTTCGGTCTTTTAAGTGGCAGTGCCTTGAGCTGGGAGGCTTGCTGTGGTTTTTTGTCGTGGGGCCTCCTATGCATTTTTTTTAGGCCGCCTGCGGGAAAGGTTTAATAAAACCTCCTGCCTCGGGCAGCTAAGACCTGGTGGCAGGGTGAGGTCCTCGGATATTTACGGAGAAAAAATATACGTTTGCCTTCTTGTGAAATGGCAACACCGTTGGCTGACCCCTTGCCCCTGGTGTCGCCGTCATTTTCTGCCCATGAGTAAGTGGCTCTAAGCCGAACGCCTCACAGCGCTCTCCAAAGTGGGAGCCCGCGGGTGATCCCAGTTTCGCCTGCGGGTGCCAAAACAAGCCGGCAGCACTTTACCCGCCCGGCGACAGCTGCGGGCAGCATTCCAAAGCCGCCCGGCCGCCGCCGCGCCGCCAAAAACGCGCCTGCTCTCCCGGGGAATGTTGTCGGCGGGCGGCCGAGCACGACCGGCCGAGCACGACCGTCGCCGCGAGCCGCCGCGTCTCTCTCGCGCCGCCGGCTTCCGAGGCGGCTCAGTGGGACAGGATGTGACCGCGGCGCGGCGTCCGGGCGTAATCCGGCGGCGTGCTCCGGCCGGCTCGGCCGCCGCGCCGCCGCCGGCCTCCCCTGGCTCCCCTGGGAGGCGGGGCGCCCGCCGTGGGAGTGGTCGGCTGTGTTTGGTTGCTGTCGGCCGCGCCGGTGCTCCTCCAGAGGAGGGCTGACCTCGTCGCCAACGGTGTGCGTTATCGATTTGGGCTGCGCTAGCGATGTGTCGGTGTTTTGTTGCAAGCCTTTGTCTTCGCGCGTTGCTGTGTGGAACGGGCTTGGCGAAGCGTCTTCAAAAAATATCGCTAACCATGGCGGACGGAGTTCGACCGTTCGGCGGTGTGACCGCAGACGGGCCGGTCCGCTCGTCTCGTCCGGCGCCGCGGACGGGATAGGTGCAGTGCTTTCTAAAGTTGTGGCGCTGATACCGCACTGGGCACTGGCATCCAGAGGCTTGAGTGGGTACCGGCCCAGAGTCGGCAGGGGGTGACCGGTGTCGTCGTGGGTGCGCGACGCATTCGCCGTAGGCCGACATGTTGCGGTGCTACCAAAGCCTCGCCAGCGCCTGCGTGGGGCACCGGTCCAGTACCTCCCGCCAGCGCCCATTTGACACCAGCTACCTGCACCATGTTACCGACACCGTGCATCTCTAGGGCGCATCTGCTGTGCGAGTGCGTGCGGTGCATGGGAACGTCGGGTCGGCACTGCCCCGCGGGCGGTGCAGACAGCGAGCTGGGGCGTGGCCGCACGCGCCGGACCGACGCCCGCCGGTGTCTCCGATGGCCGTCGGCGCCGACGGCGGCTATCGGTCGGATCGGCGGCGCCCAGACGGATGGGGCCGCTCCGGCGGCCGCGCCCGAGCGAGCGCGTGTCAGGCGCGGGCGGTGCGGCTGACGGGCCGGGTCCGCCGGGCGGTCCGCCGCCAGCGGACCCGGCGTGCCGTCTCCATTGGGCTGGGCACGTCGGTGAAGGGACGCCTCGGTGCTGTCGCGTGAGCACAAAACATGGAACCGCCGGCTCCGGCGCAGGCCTGTTGTAACGATAGGCGGTCTCACAAAAGGCCGCCGCTGGATGGCTTCTGTTTCCTCAGGCGTGGGAAAGTCAGGCCGCTGCGCTGGCAGCGACGTTTCGAATTGAAAGTCCGCCGGTCTTCCGTGCTGACCGTGGTTACATCGCCCACCATGCATTCCGCTTAGGTGGTCCCTTGCCCACCATTTATCCCGCCCATCCTTGTTGCGTGTGGAGTGGTGGGTATCCCGGGTGCAAGGTACGATTGCATTGCCCACAAGGTACGATTGCATTGCCCACATCGAGTACGGAGCATGCATAGCAATGACAACCACTCCTGTGCTGGCTCATGCGGGGAGTCCCGAATTCTGCAGTAATCTGTCGTATGCATGGTGACATCAACGGCCATCATCATGTTCCACACATCTCATGAGCGGACCACACGTCAATGTGATGTTGGGTTAAGTCAAGTTATATTGCCCGTCAGACGTGTGGTACCAACGTGGGACGGACAAAAAACGGGCAAAAAACAAACTTGATTTTTGTGAATTCGCTGCAAGGATCTCTTCAATAATTTTGAAAGACTGTGAGGCAAAAACGAACTTCAGATGTCACCAGGGCGCGTGGATGCGGTTCCATGACATATTTGGTAAGAGCAGAGATAAGTTCCGGTGGATGATAGCGTGGCCGATGATTATCATCAGCTTTTTCACCACGGAAAGATCGTTCGTAGAGTTCTCGGACACCATGCTCAGCGGCGCTTGCTCCTCGGCAAGCCGGCAGGTCGTTGGCACAGTTCAAATGTGCTCGATTTGACGTGAGCCAGAGACCACCTTGGCTGGAACAGCGGAGGGCCAACTTGCCAGCAGCTGAATCTAAGAGGGTCTGGATCGGTTCCGGACGTACTGCGTTTTGGTATAGGTTGACAGTGCTAGCAGGGTCGGCGAGAGCTTCTTAGAAAGAGGCCGACTAGAGCCGCCACTATATTTAAGCTGTCAGCGATCCAGGTGGCAGGTGGCGTCGGGCTTGGAATCATTCGCAGATCCCCGGTTCGATTCCTGCTGGGCAGGGCGCATTCGCCGCTGCCGGTTCAAGAAGGGATGATAACCCAAATGACCTGAGCATTGTCACTGCTGTCAAAGGGTACCTGTTCGTGAAAAGTCGATCGATGATGCCAAGAGCTTGGACGTTGACCAGCCTCCTTGGTATTCTTCCCTGATTCCAAAATGTAGACACTCGATCCTCCGAGGCCTTGCAGAGGTTTGCTCGTAATCGAGTGTCACTGCTCGCCCCGGTGAATGATTGACCCCAGAGCCAGAAATATTACAAAATGGTAGCGAAACTGATGACTGATACAAATATGAGACGCCGAAGATAACCATAAGCAGTGACGTTTCCGTCGTTTTCTGGATGTTTTGGTTGACGTTTGAAAAGTGTAAAGTAAATTTTCACGCCGCGCGACGATGCGGACGGCAAGATATTGGCCGCGCAGGTCACAGTACCAAGAGGGGTGCGGCGCACAAAACCAAGCTGGCGATGGCTACAACCGGGCGCCATCGCCTCGGACGGTGCTGTTGACTGCCGTGACGACGTGGGCGCCAGCGCGTTGCTTGACGAGCCGCTGATTATTCATTCCCAACGATGCGGCGCCGCTGTTGGCCGGCTTTGCGGCAGCCTGGCGCCGCCCTGGCCGCCGCCGACTGCGCCTGTGTGTCGGACGACGACGGCGGCGGCGGCGGCGGCCACAGAGCGGGGTTCGCGCCGGCCGTTGGCGGTGGTCCCCGCCGGCCGCCGCCGGCCGCGCCTGCGTGTCGGACGGCGGCGGCCACAGCCGCGGGGTCCGCGCCGGTCGTGACGGTGGTCCCCGGCGGCCGGCGGCGGTCGTCCCCGCCGGTCGTTGGCGGTGGTCCCCGCCGGCGGCGGCGGCGGCGCCGGCTGTTGCAGCGGCGCTGCCGCCGGCGCGGCGGGCCGTTACGGTCGGCCCGGGGACGACCGGAAGCGGCGCCGCCGCGGCCGGCCGCGTGAGCTGTCACGCTCACTTCCGGCCCTTCCGGCCGCCGGCCGCTGCCGCGGGCGATTCGGTCCCATGCGTCATCCGTGGGACGGCGCCGGGCCGGCGGATGCTGCGGGGTGATCGTTGCGATCTGAACGCGCCGACTGGGCTTGGACCGCCGTCTGATCTGTGTGGGATGAGGCGTGATGTGGTGGTACAGAGTGGAGCGGGGCTGCTGTTAATTAGTGTTATGCGTGGCGGCGATGTCTGGGTGGAGGATTTTGTGACCTTGGTTATGGAGGAGCTCTATTTGTGATGAAATGGCAATTTTAAACGCTGATGTGGCGTGCTGTGGATTACGGGACTGGAAAGTGCAGGCATCTGCCATGAACTATGCAAAATTAGTTTTCACTTGGCAGAAAGCTTCGAGTTTTTAAGAAATGGCCTATTTACGTCACCGAGATGAAAATAGCGAGCCGGTGTGTGCACTTCGTGGGATAGGTGTGAACCTACGGGAAACGGCACCATGATTGACCGTACCGTGACCTTTGCAGGTTCTCTGACACGTGACCTACGGACCTACCTGAACACGCGGTTCCAGAAGGGCTCTGTGGACCATGAGCTGCAGAACACCATCAGGGACAATCTGTATCTTCGCACCGTGCCTGTCACTACGCGGGCCCCGAGGCCAAACGAGGTCAGCCGGGTCGCGGGGTCACCTGAGAGGGAGGGAGAGTCCTAATATCCAGCCCACCTGCCAAGCCAGCCTGTGCTCACCGACTCTGACCTTGCCCTCTCGCGTGTCGCCGCCATTCAGAGCTGCGGCCGACGCGTGAAACGCGATGCCGACGCAGAGAAATCCGATCAGGCGCCTGTCATCTGCCGAAATAGCGCTCGGCCTGGGTCGCTTTGTCGGCGTCGGTGCCGACTCACCTGCGTGGTGCGCCCGGCGGTCGGGTGACCGGATCTTCGGAGCGGAGTGCCATACTGCTCTGTGTGTGCGGTACCTGCTCCGTCACGATCTTTGAGCCTGCTGACGCGCGCTCACGTCGGTTGCAGGTTCCCGGCGTGGACTACACGTTCCTCACGCTAGCCGAGTTCAAGGACTTGGAGCGGTCCGGAAATCTACTGGAGAGTGGTGTTTACGAAGGTGAGACGGCAGTGTCGTCCGGGTCATGTCACAGGTCATGAAGGTGAGACGGCGGCGTCGGCTGGGTCATGTCACAGGCCAAGAAGTCGATACAGCAGTGTCGTCCGGGTCATGTCACAGGTCGTGGAGGTGAGACGGCGGCGTCGGCCGGGTCTGTCACAGATCATAAAGGCGGGTGAGACGGCAGCATCAGGTCGTGGCCCGGTCACAACTCGTGCCAAACTCCGGACCCGTGTGCGGTCGTGCGCGGCGCGCTGCTCAGTGAACCTCTCGCGAGTCTTGTGGACCCAGGGCCCGCACACGAGCGAGTCCGCCTCGGCCGCGTCTCGGCTGAACCCCGACCCCCAGCTCTCGGCCACTCCGTGTGGACCCGTTTGCCGGCCGCGACGCGCCACGCGTCGCGGCCGGACAAGTCACGTGACACGGCTGGCCCAGATTCGGCGGCCGGCGGGTGCGCTCTTTCCTTCCGGGACGGCTTTCCAGCGGCCGCCGCGGCGCTTTAACATAACAGGTTTGGTGACGTGTTTAAGGTGGCGGACCGGCGGGCGGCCGCGTCGCCCGGTCGCGACCACACCTTTGTTTTCGTCTGGCGGCGGCCGGCGTGGTCGGCTGGCGCGTCATGGCGCGCCCCCGACAACGGCGGCGGCGCGGGCGCGGGGCGGCCGTCGGCGTCGCCGCGCGGAGCCGGACGGCAGCTGCGGCAGGGCCATGTCCCAAGGCGCAGGAGAGCCGTGTCCCCGGACCGCGCTCAGATGGCCAGTCCTCGGAGCGGGCCACCAGCGGGCCGCTGCGCCGCTGGCTGGCCGCGCTGACCGGCGGACCCGGCGGCGGGCGGCCGGAGGGGGCCGGCGCCGGGCCGCGGCCGGGCGTTCTGGTGCACTGTCAGTGCCCGTCTGCCGGGCTCGGCGAGCTCCCTCGGTCGG